TTTCTTCCATTTCATTTTTTGTTTCCATTTCATCTTTTTCTTCCATTTCAATATTTTCTTTCGTTTCAATATTATCATTTGAAACTATATTATCTTTTAAGTATATTTTTTCCAATTTCTCATCACTTATTGTTTCTACCTTCTCACACATATGACTATTATCTTCATTGTCGAAGACAAGTTTTACCTCCTCTACCGTTTCTTTCGTTGCATTTAATTCAAAGTTGGTAACGTTTATATTGCATAATTCTTTTACATTGCATTTTTGGTCTGTAAGATTTATATCTTGCTCATTTTCTTTCAAATTATTCATAGAATTAACTTCCATATTTCTATCGTTATCAGTACTTAATGTTTCTTGTATAACATTGCAATTTTCTGATAACACTTTATTATGTTCTAAAGAATCTTCTAATTTCTCTGTAACACTTTGACATACAATTTCAACGTTATCTGTACTCTGTTTCTCATTACTTTGAATATTTGAATGATCTTTTTCTTTTTCACAAAATGCCAAAGAAACATTACTAAAAGTTCGTGGTAATTCTTCCTTCTTTGAATCACTTTCAACAAAATTTGTTTCTTGCGAATCCTCTGATATATATGCTTCACCAATAAGTTGTAAACTTCCACTTATACCTTCTATGCTAATCAACGAATCGACGTCATGTTTCGTATTATAGTTCTTGCCTTGATCAGTATTTACTTTAGAAACTACACTTGATTTTTCTATTACATTAGTTTGAGATAAAACCTCATCCATAGTAGACTCCGGTGAAACATCTGAACTTTGTTTAATATAAGATTCCTCTTGAGATTTTGATTCTTGTTCCAAATGTGTTTCTAAAAAAATAATATACTGATTGTAAATATAATTATTATAATTAAAATATAATCTATAATTAGAAAAAAAGCATTTACCTTTAGAAGATATTGTACATACGTTACTCAAAGGTCCTTGATCCACATTAGTATCAATATTTATGCAACTATCTGATTCAAGATGTTCAGATATTTCTTTTTGTTTAATAGTTTGTGACTCGTCACTGTTAAAAACATCTACATTAGAAACATTTGTAGAATCTTCTATCACGTATTGTTCATTTTTCATTAAAATGTTTTTATGATTACAATCTTTATCTTCACTACTACTAATACTCTGATTATCTATCATGTCTTTACTATGAATATTAGACTTTATATTTGTTTGATTATTCTCTACTTTTGTTGAATCGGTGATTATTTGTGAAAGAGCAGCAATTTCACTTTCTAATGTAGAATCGCTTACAGGATCAGATTGAACACCAATAATATCATTTATATCCATAATGCTTAATGCTTCTGTATCATAAGTTTCTGAATCACTATCTATGCAGTATGGTGCATAACGATCTGGTGAATCTTCTTTTTTAGATTGTTCTTTTTTTTGTTCCTTATTTTTATCTTTTGAGCCAAATAGGCCCATCTTAGAACTCTCAGACATTGTTTGAGGGCCTAACACAAAACACAGTATGCTTGCTATGAAACATCAATGCATTTATTGCATTTGTCCATATATATATATTATATTTATGTATTCACTCAAATGTATACACTTATATATATATACATTCAATACACAATACCAATAACACATGTATACTATTTGTATAATCTATTAGCTTACTTATGGATCTATGTTGGCAACGTTTTTATCATGTTTTAGAACATATGACAATAATATCCATTTACTTATTATTATCACTGATATTAGTAAGCATAACCAATCTTTTTTGCCACATAACTATTGATTTTCAACTAGATAAATTATAATTTTTCAATTAGACAAATACATAAAATATTACACCTTAGAATATTTTGAGATAATACTTATGTATCTAAACTTATGGTATTAATATCAATTCCTTTAGTATCTTTAGTTTTTTGTATATATTTTACTTAATCAACACTTGATCAACCGACGCTCTAATACATAATCCATTAAGCCAGGTAATTCAGGGCCGCCAAGCTCACTTTTATAAGTAAAGACTTATGGCGAATCCACAAAACAGTGAAATACTAAACAAATACAAAACTGGTTTATCACATATATATCACATATAATATACTGACATTAGTTTTGTGAAATCCATTAATTCGTAAAATAATTAGTTATATTCAGAAATAACTATAACCTAACCTGTTTAAATATAAAAGATGGCAGAATGAAATATTTCATCTAGATAATCATATTACGTTTTATTATAAAAATTATACACATTAATGACGAATTTTTATATATTTATAAAATATTATATATAGAAGTAATGCAGCAAGATGTTATGCACGAGTTAAATTTTTCAAATTTTCGCGCTAAATTTGAGAATGCGCAAAAGTTGTTGCGCATAAGATTAAAATGAAAACTCGCCATAGCTTGCACTCCCCACTTTTATAAAACGATTGTGCTACTTGTATATCGACTCGAGTGTACTTTCGCTGCATATACTGCCACGAATGTAATTTTTGTCTATTAATCATTCCATTAAAAATTATAATTAAATTATATATTTTTATTATTTATATTTTGCATTCATTATAACCTAATGTGTACAAGTGATAAAATATTGTATAATTCAACTATGGCATTTGAACAGACACGCCGAAATCGATAACGACCAATTATAATTTTTTTTTCTTTTTTCATTATTATAACTTGTCATAAAAAAAATCAAAAATGGCAAATAGAAAATCTTCGCCCAATTCAAAAAATACAGATGATCATAGCGTTGAGGTAAGATATTTATAATTTGTCAATCTTCTTTCAAGTAAGTTATATCTTACAAGTTTTGTTATTGTCTATATAATAATAATACGAATTTTATAAATGTAAAGACTTTATTTTAATATAATAATATTTTAAATTTCATTCAAATATTTTCTATTTTATCTATTTACAAATGAATAAATTTATTTCTTTTTTTTTCTATCTATAGATAAAATTTAAAAAATAACACAAGTATAGTTTTTACATATACTTTTATATATTTTGTTTGTTTGAATTTTATTGAATATTTCTAATGAATGTAAATAATAATTTACTTTTGTATTTAACAGACGCTGGCAGAGGTGTTCCGATGTTTTATTTGTATGGAAAAATTACGAGATGCACATCTTTGTCCTCATTGTAGTAAATTATGCTGTTATAGATGTATAAGACGATGGCTAACTGAACAACGCTCACAGTGTCCTCATTGTCGAGCCTCTCTTCATTTACATGAACTTGTAAATTGTCGATGGGTTGAAGAAGTTACCCAACAACTTGATACATTACAAGCTGTCGCTATATCTAATTCACGTTATGATGATTCTAATCGTGATAGGTAACACATTTATTTGTTGATAATTCTATAAATATTAAAATAAATTCAAGTAATATTTTAAAGATAATTTTATTCATTTTTAGATGTACAATACATCAAGAAAAATTATCTGTATTCTGTTGGACATGTCGTCGTTGTATTTGTCATCAATGTGCATTGTGGGGTGGAACACATTCAGGACATACATTCAAACCTTTAGAAGAAGTTTATGAACAACATGTAAATCAAATAAAATTAGAAATAAGGCAATTGAAACGAAGACTCCTTCAATTAATCAGTCTTGTTCAAGAAGTAGTATGTATCTAATTAAAAACAATCAAATATATATATATATATAGATTAATAAATAATGAAAATATATATATTTTATTCTTATATACACTAGGAAAGAAATGTTGAATCAGTGAGAGCTGCAAAGGATGAAAGAGTAAGAGAAATTAGAAATGCAGTAGAACTAATGATTGTTCGTTTGGATTCTCAATTAAAAGCAAAATTGTTAACTCTGATGGGTCAAAAGAATTCTTTAACTTTGGAAACAGAACAATTAGAAATATTATTACAAGAAGTAGAACATCAGTTGCATACGTATACTCGGTCAGAACTTATAGCCAAAAGTGTTGACTTGTCTAGAATGATTTATCAAGTTTGGAAAAAACCAATAACAAATTTTGTTACTACACCTGTTCCTGCTGATTTTCATAGGTACATGGAATATTTAAATATAAAGAATATTATATATAAAAGAAGTCTCTCTCTCTTAATATTAATATTATTATTATTATAGTGAAATAGTACCAAGATATGACAGTGCCACATTTGCAATGCAAAATTTTACACAATTGCAATTGAAAGCAGACCCAGTGTATTCTGCACCGTTGCATGTTAATGGTTTATGTTGGAGACTTAAAGTATATCCTGATGGTAATGGAGTTGTACGTGGAAATTATTTATCTGTATTTTTAGAACTTACTGCCGGGCTACCTGAAACTTCAAAGTAAGTGTGATCATAATTTGTAATAATATATAAATAATAATTTATATTATTATGATTTATTGTTTCAGATATGAATATAGAGTTGAAATGATACATCAAGGATTGCATGATACAAGTAAAAATATTGTTAGAGAATTTGCTTCGGATTTTAAAATTGGCGAATGCTGGGGATACAACAGATTTTTCAGATTAGATTTACTAGCAACGGAAGGTTATTTAAACACAGAATTGGATACACTTATATTACGGTATGTCTTTTTCTTCTTGTAGATTTTGTAAAATATATCATTGCAATAATTAAAAAGATAATATAAAATATCGTTATATATTTCTTATATATCCGTAATGTATAATTCCAAAGCAGAAATTAGGTTTCAGGTTAGACCACCAACTTTTTACCAACGATGTAGAGATCAGCAATGGTATATCAGTCAATTAGTAACTGTTCAAAATCAATACAAGACTCAAATCAATGAACTGAAAGAGGTAATACATAAAAAAAAATATAGATTATAAATTTATTTATAATGCATTCATTTTAAAATGATCATTACTATTATAAATAAACATCTTAATGTTTTTATATTTATAGAGACTAGCAATTGAAATTTCACGTAATACGGTAACAGCAAGTAGAGCAAATAATGGAATTACAACACCTACATCAACTGCAAATATATTATCTTCAGTTCAACAAAAACAGCCACAAGGTTCAGGAGATTCTACTTTGAATTGTAATTCTGGTTTAACCATTGATACTTATTCAACTGGATTACCAAATACTATATCACAGTAAGTTTTTTTTAAATAAAATATACAGAAGATACATTAATTTATGAAAATATGTTATAGATTTTGATATAAAAATCTTTATTTATTGATTAGATCTATTCCTAATACTTCACCTAATGCTGTTATTAATGAAACAATGCCAGAAGATCAATTAATATCTTTGACTGAATTAGGAGAATTAAAAAATATTCATCCTCCTGTATCATCTTCCACGTTGTCTTCAGTATATTCAAAAACAAATACAAAACAAAATTGTTCTAATAATATTAATATTATTGAAAATGAATCACGTATACCACATACTGCCAATGATGTATCAGTAGGTGATATTCAACCTACAGAAACTAATTCGTCAATACCATCTTATTCTTCTCCAACAACTTTAAATCAACAACCATTAAATATTTCATCAAGTAGTAGTAGCAGTGATAGTGGAGTAAGTTTACTATATATAGAATTAATATGTATTATTTTCTTATATTTATTTATAGTTGATATTTCACTTGTTATAGGAATTAAGTGAGCACGATATATATATAGCTGAATGTGAGAATACTGAACGCACACTGACATTATTGGAGGATAATTCTAATGATGAAAATGATGTTGACGATGAAACTATGTCAGGTATCAAACTACATCATATTTCATTGTATATATATATATATACTATATATATTAGTAATAGATATCTTTTCCTGTAGATTATGTATTTCGAATTTAAAATCAATTTTTCATCATGTAAATAATATATTCCAAATTAATTTGCATTTAAAAATATAATTAATAAATTAGGTACAAGTACAAATAGGGGTCTACCTTTAGAAGAGGATCTCAAATTTATTTGGCAAGAAAAAATACTTGATAAAGATATATCAAATAAAAAAAACCAACAAGAATGAATAACATAATGGAGAATTTATAAGAAAGACAAAAATTCTTCTTACGATTAATACTCCAAAATAACATTTTTTTCTAAATTTTTTAAAAATAGTACAAATTAAATAAGAATAATTTTAATATACGTATATATATATATACATATATATAAAATAATTGTCGTATAAATTAATATTGTATGTGACAATAAAGTTTACTCGGTTAATATTTTAAATTGATATGTGCATAAAATCAAATTATTATTTATGTATACATATATTTTCTTTGTTTTCAAACGTTTTCTATTTAGTTAAGTTAAAAGAATTACAAGTATAAATTAATTTTCATAATTATATATATATATTTTTATTTTTAAGGTGAAAATGATATAGAAGTAGCAGAATCATTAGCACCATGGATGAAAAATAAACAAAGAATAAGGGAACAAAGTGGTGGTAGAGATGCAATTGCAGAAACGTACAGGTATAAAGAATTACTTTTTATAATTGAAGATTATAAATTTCTTATTTTATTATTGATCTAATATGAGATTAAATTTTTGTTATGGAAACAAATATAAAGTGAACTAAGAAGCAATGAAAGTTTAGAAGACGAAATAATGCTACTTCATCTATTTGATTATCAAGATCGAACGTCTGGCTGGACTTCTTTATCTTTTAATAAACGTACATCTGATACGTCAGATTCTAGAAGCTCAATAAGCAGTATTAAATTACAAAATTCAAGTCCTTTACATCACAGTGGTGTATTATCCACACATCCATCAGGATATGCACACAAACATCGTGAACTCGAATCATGTAGTAAACAAACATTCCCTGATAAACATTCGAATTATGTAATGCAATCACCTCAAAAAGTTAGCAATAGTAAGATTAAACTTGATCAAGTTTCAAATAGTTATCAACAGAAAATGTTTGGTATGTCAAATTGTGGAGATTATGTAATACGATCTGAACCTGCAACACGTTCAAATTCTTTAGATTGTGAAAAGGATCTTTCCAAAATGTCTATCTTTAATAAATTTAATTATGAAGTGGAAACAGTTAGACCATCAGATTTGATAGCACCAAATGGTAAATAATACGCAACATTTACAAAATTATTAATATCAAAATAATAAGTTTATATTTTCAAAATAACAATCATATATTAAAATATTAATATTATTATTGTATAAATAATTAATATAATATTTTAGTAATCTTGGATAGTAACGCAATTGTATCAAAGCATTTACTGTCTCGTCGACAATCTTCGCCAGTTTCTCCTGCAAATAGTTCATTAAACAGCGAAAGTAGTAAAACGTTCAATTTTGAAAGACTGATTGAGTCTATTCCATTATCTCCAATATCAAATTCATCTAAATTAAGGTAAAACTAATATTTTGTTGTTGTTAACACGTGTCACTATTATAGTTGTTGTTATATTATTTGTTTGTATTATTATTATTATTATTGAAATAGGAAAAGTAATTCGCAAGAAGGAAAAGATAACAATTGTACAAGTATGAAAATTCCTGCACTTTCATCAGTTCATGAAAATATCTTATTACCAATTAATAATGCAGTAGGAACTGATACTATATCAAATCATAATAATTATAGTTGGGCTCCTGCATTATATCCTCATAAACATGGTATATGCGATTTTATAATAATTTTTATTAATATTGTTATATAAATAACAAAACTAATGTCTGTTGTTCTTTTTTTTTTTTTATTATAGTTCAACAAAATGTTACAGACACTATTGTACAAGGTACATCAAATGAAAAATTGGAGAAAAGTAATCGTGATAAGTAATTGAAATTTTTTTAAAGTACTAATTTCGTTTCATACTTTTTTAATTTATTATATATATATATTTATATTTATATATATACATTATGATGTATTAAATAACTTTTTTTTTTTTTTAGCACCACTATGCAATAATCCTGGCAAAAAGTTCTTTTATTTACATCAGACATCTTTTATTTTAATGATCAAATTGTTAAATAAGATGATGATGTCATGTTGTGATTGTGATTAATCAGTAATTATTACATTCTTTGTACACATTTTATCTATTGTTCATAATATAATCAATAGCTGTTCAAATACAGCTCTTACGACGAATTTTTAATATCCCCCCTTTTTTCTTTTTGGTTTCCTATTAATTTATTTAACTGATAGAATATAAAACAAATATTATGTGTTCGTATATATATATATATATATATAAATAAAAAGTAAGTAAAAAAAAATAACTATCGAGACATTGATACTCTTATAATAATCTTTTTACAGTATCAGATCAAATGATACAAATTTAAAAGTATTGAGTTTAAATGCATTATAAAAGAAAAACTACACACACAAATGAGACATTTAAAATATAAATTAAAAAAAAATAAATAAAAAATTGAGTTTATTTATAAACATATATTATTATTTTATAAAAATTTAAAATAGATTCAAATAAAATTAGGAAGAGAAAGTTTGGGGAAAGGTGATATGGCACGTAAATATCGGTATAGTAAAACTATTATCAAGTAGATATCACAATTCATTTTTCAGTATTTTTCCTTTAGGAGTAGTACTAGTATTTTGTACAATTCGCATAATTTTTGTTTTATTAGAAACAATTTTACTATCTAATTCTAATATCCTAAGAATTCTATAATATTTTCTATATTTTTTTCGGATCATATGAACAATATGTTGATCTTCAGCAAGATCAATGGTTGATCCCAATAATAAATGAATATACCTAATATGTTCTAATTTCAATAAAATAATATTTTTCTTATTTCTAGCAGTTCTTAGATCAATGAAATTTAAATGTCGTCTTAATTTTCTATAATCACATAGAAGCTGTTCGATTATTTCTAAACACAGCCAACGTATGCGAATGATACATTTGTCTGGTGGATCGGTAGCACTTAACAAACAAATATTTGTTAAAGCTTCGACACGTGAATCACCATCTAAATTTGCTAATACGTAATTAAGTAAATTTGGAATGTTAATTGGTAAAGAAAATGGGAATACTGTACTGTCTTCTTTCCTGAAAAAAAAAAAAAAATAAATAAATAAATATCTCAATCAGATAATTATTATAATAATATTAATTTTGTTATTAAATACATTTTCATTACCTTTTTGCTGGAAAAAATAAAATAGATGGAAAATGATTCATACTATATTCCCATGGTAAATCATTATTGTCTCCATCTATGCGTACAAATGTAAGATGATCCATTGCAGACAAATAATGTGCTACCATTAAATAAACATAAGATATTGCATTACAAAATGCACAATATGGAGAATAATACATTATAACCACATCCTATTAAAAAAAAAAAACATTTCAAATAATATAATATATATTTATACATATATCTGCATTATTTAATTCTTTAGATTTAATTTCTATTTACTTTAGTTTTATCCAAGATAGTATTTAAAAATGTTTCACTTGTTAAATCTGGTATACACATTTTCAATGTATTTTTTGGATCACATCTAATCTTGGTCTTAAATTTGTGTACAAAGCCACGTGAATTATCAGATCGTAATGTGCGTTGTAAAAAACCTTGAGTATAATTATTTATAAATTCTATAACAGCATGTCTATTAAAATCTGTTTGCATAACGTATTCACTTTCTTGCTGAAATTATATAAATAATATTATACTATTTAAATATAATAACAAATAAATAAATACGAGAGAACAAACAAACAAACAAATATACTTACAGCAACATCTAAAATGATAGCAGCAGTTTTATCTTTTCTTTTCAAAACATCAATTCCTAAGCCTTCAGCAAAATGAAAATAATGTAAACTATCAATTGCTATGAAAGATAATGTCCTATTTATATTGCACAAAGATTTGATGAAACTTATGTTAGATTGATTGAAAGAAACTTGAGGAAATATTGGTTTGTGATATTTATGTCCTGTAAACCATCTTTTACAGTCTTCTTTTAACAAATGATGTTTTATCGCAGTAGGAGATTGTTGATCATTTTCATCAGACTGTGACGATTTATACTCTGAACTAAAATATAAATATAATTAATTAATTAATATTATATTATATTATTATTATTATTAAGTTATATTTTCTGTAAAATTGACTGTACCTTTTAACATTCACACTTTCATCTAAATTTATTGAAATATGTTCTTGATTGCAACAAAATTCTTGTTCAGTTTGAGTACTTTCAGATATTGGTATTTTAAAAATATCTATTTCTTTACATACATAAACATTTTGTTCATTAATAGCAGTACATACAGCTAATTCTTTATCAAACGAATTTAATGTTTGCTTTTTACATAAAGAACATTTATTCATAAAAACATTTGCACAACAGCTATTATTAATCCACTGTTGTACAGAAACACTGATCGTAGGCTCATGTTTTTTCATTTCATGTTCACTTAAAAGATTGTTACATTGATCATTTTGTTTCATGTAACGAGACATTGCTGTATAACGTTTGTATTGTAGACCCAAAATAATATCTTTCACTGAAAGATTATTCGCACAATTATAGTATTGTAATCCAATTTCTCTAATCTAAAAAATTATTATAAAAATAAATCAATGTATAATATACAAAATATATCATTATTTTCAAGAAATAATATATTATTGTATAAATAATGAACAATATTTATAACATACCAGATCATAATTATAATTTTCATAATGCAAAGGATTACGTGGTGTAAATAAAAAAAATACAGGTCCTTCTTTAAGATATGGTGCAAGAGTAAGAGATTTCATTCCAGGTGGTTGAAGCCATAATGTTGGTTGATGAATTGAACTGGTCATCCAATTCAATATATTTTCTGACGTCCATTCTTTATCATCTGGATAGTTCTAAATGTTAAAATTACTTTTTTTTTTTTCTTTTACAATTGTTTATAAAACAAAATAATATATATATATAACAAGATCAAATACATTAATTAATAGTTGTTATCATTTACCAAAGTTTCATTCCACATAAATAAAGATGCAGTAGGTGTTTTAGTAATTTCATAATTGGATTGACTAGATAATGCATTTGTTACAACAGCAAATGCATGTTCTCTGTTAGGATCCCTTTCTAATGATCTTATAGCAGCTTTATAAAATTCTTTATAACCTGGACTGTTAGCCAATCCGGTAAAATTAAAATAACCTACAATTACAGCCTGCAATGAATATAAATAGAGTACAATCAAACAAATAATTAATTTTGTTACAATTAGACAAATGTTTATCAACTCACATCATAAGTAACAAGCAATTGTTTTATTGATTTTTTATTTGTTATCCTAATAATTGGATTTATAAATGCATGAAGAAATCGTATCATGTATGGTGCAGTACGTATACCTCTATACAGTATACCTGAATCTCTTGCAGGATAAAGTATCAGAACTGGATAACTTTGAATTTTATTATATTGCGTTCTACATTCAGAATTTGGATGCCAACAATTAATGGCAGTAAAAAATATCTGAAAAAAGATATCATTTAATAAAACAAAATGAATGAGATATTAAATGTATGTAATAATGAAGGATTATATTTATGAACTTTTTATACCTGTGGATAATAATATTCAGCTACTTTTTCAAATTCATCTCGTACCAATTGACTTTCTGCATCCCATGGTGCATAATACATAACAAAACTAAATTCTATATCTGTGACTCTGTCTATCATAGCACTTAAGTGACCTTTGTAAAAATCTAAAACGATGGAACTTTGATTGAAAAATGGTCTTGCCGATGGTGGTTTAGATATTCTTGGTGGTCTGTAAATAATATTAATATGTTATTTATTTAAATAAAAATATTTTATAACTTTTGTCAATTAAAGTATATATATATATATATATTACAAATTTAAAAAGAGGTACACGTGACAATTAATATTACAAAAAGAAAAAAACTAATATCATCAAAGGTTATAAAAGTAATATAAAATAATCATAAACATTAAAACACAACCTAAAACTTACGAGCTGTGTAATGCAGCTAATGCAGTGAACATGACAGCAAGAATAAAACATATTATTTCTGTAGCATAAGAAAACATTTTGTTAGCCAATTTTTGTTCAATCGTTGCACTTTGCTTTGATTCTTTGGCCACGTCGTTACTTCCTGAATCCGGTATAGTTGAGCGCAAGTTATCAGCATTTCTCAACGGGCTTATTTCGCGCGGTTCACTTGACATTATCCGTTAAACCAAAAAACGTAAATTAAAGAACGAAATAGCGTTTATTCACGCTCATAACACACTTATCATTTTACTATGTGAATATCTATCACAGAAAGTAACAACTGATTTAATTAAGAAAGATTAGGCGGGCTTTCTTTACGACTTATTCTGGCTTTCTATACGTATATGTATATTAACAAAGCGGAAACAGCTGATCACTTGACAACATATTAAAAAGATGTCTAAATCTACAATAAATGTAATCATATAATCATGAATACTTCAATCAAATTTTTATCATCAATTCTAGACTATACATATATTTTTTTTTTATAAATAATGATTGTATTTATTCATTGGTTTAACTATTATTACATTATACTTAATACATTACAATTAAGTTTTGTAACATAAACAGTAACTACTACTTGCTTTGACATTAATGTTAAAAGTACACGATTCTTCTCCTAGATGGTGCCACTGATGCAATCTACTATACCGACAAGAAAAATATAACATTAAATTTTACATAATTATTAACATTTTTAACAACATTTAGATAATTGACGTATTTTATAGAATCCTAGAAATAGTGCGATGTAATATAATAATTTTTTTTATTTTAATTTATAGACAAAATTATTATCTGAATATTCGACATAGTATAATGTTCTATATAGTTAATGCATGAAATATATGTTATTTTTTTAATTGTAAATAATAAATTATTATAATTTATATTCTAGACATTTTTTTTTTATAGACTTTTAGAAATAATATAAAAATTATAAAATTTAATAAAAGATATCTTAATAACTAGAAAAAATATTCATGAATATATATTAAATGTCATCCTCGAATTAACATTTTGACATTTTTTTGTAATTCCCATTAGGGATTCAAATATTCTGGTCTTCAAGATCGATCTCTCCCGTCACAAAATTACGAAAATTGTATCAGGAGCACATGATGATATAAGAGGTAGCACGAATGAGGTAAACTCGGTCGGTAAATTTATTTCAGATCCGATGATAAGTTACCATCTAAAAATTACCATCTGAACATATGTCTGATAGTATATATTTTTTCTCGTAGATGTCGTCAAGTAACTACTTTTTTTTATAGATTTAGTTATTAGTTTCATTACTAGATGGAGTCACAATTTTAAAAAAACTGTCAATAAATTCGTCGGTATAATAGATTTCATCAAATAGCACTATCTAGGAGTAAAATCGAGTACTTTTAACATTAATACCCAATTTCATCTAACATCTAGATTTTTTCTATGGCTGTGTTGTTTTAGCGTTGCGTTAACCGTGGTTCCTATTAATTCCAGGTTATGTTTCATCAAACTTTTGAATTATTGAGGGAAACATGTCTTTTACGGGCATTAATTACTTGAAATGATTCAGATTTAAACATTATAATATATAAACTGTATTTTCTTATAATTGTTTATTTAATACAAAAAGATGAAATTAGTTAAACCTAATTGGGTCACGCACGATGGTTTGTTATATTTAATATTTTATTCTTTGTTATGTCCTGTGTGTTAAATAAATAAAATTAATGAACGTTTTTAAATGTCTTACAGGATATTCAATATTTTCCGTTGACATACACCCAGATGGTAAAAGATTTGCTACAGGAGGCCAAGGTATTTCTTTTAAATATTTAATTATCTTAATTATTGTACAATATTATTATATTATAAAATAATGTTAATAATTTCAGGTGGTGATTCTGGCAGAGTTGTCATATGGAATATGGAACCTGTTGTGAACGAATCAGCCGAATTGGATCCAAATGTGTCAAAAATATTATGTCAGCTGGATAATCATCTTGGTATATATTTATAGTTATTAAAAATCATTTTAATTATTATTACAATTTTTAATTTATATATATATATTTCTTTTTTTCTAGCATGTGTCAATTGTGTCAGATGGAGTAATAATGGTTTACTAGCATCCGGTGGTGTAGACAAACTTATTATGATATGGAGACTGTCTGGTGGTTCCGGTGGAAGTTCTTTATTTGGAGGAAAAGCTAGCGTAGAAACATGGCGATGTATAGCTACATTAAGATCCCACGAAGCCGATGTTTTGGATCTTGCATGGGCTCCTCATAGTCCATGGCTGGCTTCAGCTTCTGTAGATAATAGTGTAATTGTATGGGATGCATCGAAGTTTCCTGCCATTGTGGCTGTTTTGAAAGGTCATACAGGTTTTGTCAAAGGCATTACTTGGGATCCTGTTGGAAAATATTTGGCATCGCAATCAGATGACAAAACATTGAGAGTATGGCGTACTACAGATTGGACAGAGGAAGCATTAATTTCTGAACCGTTTGATGAATGTGGTGGAACGACTCATGTTTTAAGATTATCCTGGAGTCCAGATGGTCAATACTTGGTTTCAGCTCATGCGATGAATGGTGGTGGACCTACAGCACAAATAATTGAAAGAGATGGTTGGACGCAAGACAAAGATTTTGTTGGTCATAGGAAAGCTGTTACTTGTGTCGTATGTAATTTGATTATATTATTTTTATAAATTAATTATTAATCAAATAATCATATAATATACGTTTCTCTATGTATTTTACAGAGATTTAATGGAAACATTTTACAAAAGAAACAGTCAGGCTCTTCTAAACCACAACAATATTGTTGTGTTGCTATAGGTTCTCGTGATCGTTCATTATCAGTGTGGTTAACGTCACTTAAAAGGCCTTTAGTTGTGATTCGTGAATTGTTTACTCATTCTGTTTTGGATGCAAGTTGGTCTCCCTGTGGTCTCAGACTTGCAGCTTGTTCTTGGGATGGATCTGTTGTATTTATTGAATTTACTCAACAAGAACTTGGACAACCTTTGGATCCTGCTGAACAAGTTTGTTATTTTTGTAATCATTATTATTTTTGTCACTGTATATTACTTTATATTATATTATTTATATATAATTATACAGAGTAGTCTCCATGAACGTTTATATGGAAAACCATTAGTCCAAGGAGGTTGTATGGTGATGGAAGCTCCTGAATTATTAAATTTGAAACCACCTGCACCTCCTACTCAACAGCCAGTTCAATCTACAACAAATTCAGTTCCAGCACCTTTAAATACTTCAACTACACCTGCTAAAGGTCCCATTAATAAACAAATTGAAACTAGAACATCTGATGGTAAAAGAAGAATTACTCCAATGTTCATACCACCACCTCCTGATATAATGTTAGTTCATGTTCAATTTATCATATAATATGTTAATGTAAAAGTAATTAGAAATTATTGATGAAATTAATAAATTTTAGGGATACAGCAATAAATGGTGGAACAACAGTACCAACGTTTACAAGTAAACCTCAAACAAAAAGTTCTATTGTAATAGAAAAACGTAACGATGTTGTTACACCTAATGTTACATCTTCTGTGAATTCTGCTATCATAAATACACCAGCTTCGTCATTAACTTTAAAACGACGAGAACAAAGTACTCCGAAGTTACATCATTTATCACCAAATAAAAAATTAAAAATTTTGTCTGAAAAAGGTGCAGGACAAATTGTTCTTCCTGCATTAAAACCGTCCACTTCATTATCTCAACAAGCTGGTCATCATGCAGTTACTATCAGTAATAATCAAGGTTTAGCACATTTACAAGTATTTAGAGGTACAGATTCCGAACCAACTTGGGATCTTTATTTGGGTTACAATGCTGTGGCACTTGCTGCCTCTTCAGCTGTTATAGCTGTTGGTTTAGAAGATGGTAGTTTACATACTTTTCATCCAATCAAGGGATCTCGATTTGCACCTCCTTTAGCACCACCTGCACCATTAGCAAAAATTCATGCTGTTGGTAATGCGGTAATGTATTTGGATTATATGTTTAATGAAAAAACTTATATATACATATAGAGAGAGAAAATTATATTTTTATATAGAAAATTATTATTAGGTTATGGTTATATCTACTTGTGGTGATGTACGAGTATGGGAAATAGGAAATACGTGTAGAATGATTGTATCAACATCAGCTGCACATTTGGCAGCACCAGGAACGTCGATATTGTCATGTACACTTTACAATGGAATGCCACATTTAGCATTTACAAATGCAAGAGCTTATATTTATCACAAAGAAATGGGTATTTTGATATTATGATACATATAATAACTAATAATAATAATAAATGTAGCCACATGTAATTAACTATTTTTTTTTAGGAACATGGTTGTTAATTGGAGATAGCCACGATCCAGTATGGCGGTGGTCTTCATTTAATGCATTAAGTTCATCCGGTAGTAGAACCCCACGAGGACCTTTATTTTCTCTACAAGAAGGTTTATTAAGAACTTCTGGAAATGTTTTACCTAATCCTCGATCGGCACACACCGGTCCCAGTATAGTGTCTTACATGGAACAACAATTATTAGCATCTAAAGCACTTGGTAGTGCACAAGAATATGTTCATTGGATAATGGCACTAGTATCATATTTATTAACTCAAGGTATATTTCATGCAATTATTATTGCAATCATTATTTCTATATATATATATATAAGGCGGACCGTAAAGTAATGTTGTTTTCTAACCTTAAATTAGAATAAATATATAATATATTATAAATTATTGTTTCACTTGTAGATGGTTTAGAGAAACGTTTAAGATTGATCTTAGATGATCTCTTGGGTCCAAGTCATACATCAGCATCTAAAAGTACATCATGGGATCCTATGATTCTTGTAAGTTATTTGTTTCTGTAGGTACATGGTATTGTTGTTAAATAAATAGTAATAAAATGATATATATTTTTTTTTTTTTTAATATATAGGGAATCAAAAAACACAAAATTTTGGGTGACGTATTGAATGTCGTTGGTGGTCATCTACGTTGGCAAAGGTTATTTCTTGAATATACAGAACAATTAACGGCATTAAAGAATCAGAGTACATAAAAGTAAGTGAAATATTAAACAATAAATTGTTAGTCAGTGTAATTTTGAAACTGATATATCACATCAGACAAACTTTTATATTTTTATGCAGTGATTTATGCATTTGTACAGTTTTTTATATTGATGTGATAATTAATGCGACGTGATAATCAGTATAAATTTTTCCTATTGATAAAAAGGAATAAATGCAAATTTTCCATAAATAATCAATTTGTTTTTTTTTTCTCTAAACTGAAGAAGAACTGTGTTTTTATATTAAAATAAGGACAAAAGTGATAATATATGTATTTCGATTGATTAATAAATTGCAACAAGAACTTACAAAAGTATTATTACATTTACAAAAAAATAATAATACAGTTATGAAATGCTGTATAAATTTAATATAGATTGAAAAAATATCATGCAAAATGAGAAGATGAAACTTATAATAAAATAATGAAATATGATATTGGATTGGTGGTAAGAAGGAAAAAAATGATTAAATAAGAATGAAATAAGGATAAGTCAGTATTTATGCATTTAATTAATTTCTCATCATTCTGTGCGTATTTAATCATCACGCATATTCACAAATGATATATTATTTATTTTCTATGATATTAATTAATATCATTCTTAAAGTATTATTAAATAATATTTACAAAGTTTCAGCACAGTTATGATCAATTTGCAGTGAAGTAACAAATTTGAAATATGTAATTTTCTATATTATATTTAACATATACTGTCTTTTTCATATTAGCACCATTATTTATCATAATATTGTATCAAAATCAGATTTCGACATTTCGTGTACCGAATTTGGTATAAACATAAAGTATAAAAATAAAAATTCGGCAAATCTTCCTTAGTTTATCCTACAACAAATATGCATAATAATGTAAATAATCTGCATTTGTATAATCTATGCAGGAATAATACAACAACAAGTAGTACTTCATCATACAGATAGTTCATTTTCTTATGTTTCTATCAAATAAAAGAACATTATATTTTAAGGGAAGCGTTAGTTTGTGGAGTAATCGTGTTGTTGTTGTTCAAATTTCATTTTTGTTTCTTTTGTAATATAAGTTAGATGATGATGTTTATTATCAGTATATATTACTTTTGTTTTTGTAGTTTTTATCATAAATACTATCGTCATCAATACTATAATAGGTCACTGCCTTCCCTTTAAATCCTATATAAATATTTTATTCAAAATACTATTATTATTATTATTATTATTATTATATGTCACAAATGTTGCAAATCTTTTCATTGATATTTCATTTATTTGCAACATTTTAAAAAGATCATAATATTATGTAGCCAAAGAATAAATTAAGTCATTGACGTTATACGAAAATTCGCGTGTTACAATGATATATAATATATATACAAATCTTGTTTATATATTTGAAATGATTGCATATAAATATAAATATATATATATATATATGCTGTATTTCATATATATTCAAGCGTTTCGCACGTTACGATTGTTAAATCTTATTTTCATTGTTTGTTATCAATGCAGTAGTAATAATAGTAATAGTAGTTTTTACTAATAGTAGACATAAATGAAGTGAAGACATTTTGTTTTTGTTACAAAGGCGGAGGTCCATTTGGATGATAGACCATTAGAGTGAAACTTCGAGCGAGATTGTTAGAGAGCATGCAATTGTAATCTTCTTCTGTTGATGGTATCAATGAAGTTACACCAAGTAACAACAGCATTAATGCTTGTATCGGAAGAGATACACGCAGAACCCTTCCTAGGAAACTAGATCCTCGTCTTGATGCTATTTGACGTCTTTCGTCACCACTGTAACAATTACAGTAAAACAAAAAAGTCAATGATTTAATGAACAATTTAAAACAACAAGAGTTGTTGACAAAGCAAATCAAATATTTGTTAATTGAAAAATTAAATAAGAAATTGGATTGAACAGGGGGAAAAGGAAAAGAACGTACTCTGTGGCAGCTGTTGTGTGCGGCTGAGAGGTCCCAGAGGCAGCTTCATCGAGTAGCTACAGTTAAACAAAAGAAAAAACACAAACAATAAGGTACTGTGCAAGTGAATTACTACTAATTAATTACATATGGCGCACGTGATAATGGTATTAAGCCAATGAGAAAGAACAGGTGCACTTTTTTTTTTAGTGCTGCAATGTATTTTTGGTTCCCTTTCATCGGATTTCATTGCTCTCGTGCGCTTTAAGAGATAATTATTTTTACGTGGATTTCTTTTTTTTTTGGTTTTTTTTTCTTCTTCTTTTTTTTTTCTATATCATGCAATAAAATCTATATAAACATTTAAGAAACCAAAAGCAAAAAAAAAGTAGATCACGTTTCAGCGAGTGACCTGAAATTATATTTGATACCCCTGCAACTTTATAAATTCTACTTTAAACAAATCTCTACATTATCAAATATATATTTATCTAACTATCTATATATATGTATATATACTTACATATTTATTATATAATTGATATAATTGTATGTATTTTATTTTTAGGATATACAATTGAAAGAATTGAAACTTACATCGCGAGAAAGTGTGGCTAATGAAGAAGTAGTAGCAACTAGTCCAATATCACGTGGATCCAATCCTAATGCTGCTCCTAATTTTAATGAATAGATGCCTGTCAGTCGACGTAACGATTGCAGTCTTAATCGAAGTTCTTGTAATCGAGCTCTCATTCCTCCCTGTTCATTTAATAGTTGATCGGCAGATTCTTGAAGTGATAAAACACGTGGTTCACAGTGTTCAAGGTCGCTTCGTAATTCCCTTTAAAAAAAAAAGAAAAGAAATTTTTAAATGATACATATATATATAACATATATAAACCTACAGAAGAAGATTATTAATTGTATAATACAGTGATGATGAATCCTTTTATTATTCGTATGCAAGTCTCTAAGAATTATATGGAAAATTTGTAATAAATTATTGTTAATATGCTTTATAATTTTCACTTATAATATATATTTGTTTTCTTTTATTTTATTTTGTAAATAATATAATTCAAATATATTTGTGGTCGTTAATTGATAAATATTTAATATTTTATTTTTTTTTTTTTATTTTGATCCATTTGTAACGAATGGTTCGTCATCATTGTATTATGCCAATTTGATAATAGTTCCTTATTTATTTGTATTTTATGTATAAAGCAAATTAGTCACATTGTTCGATAATAATATAAATATTAATTTATATGCAAAAAAAAAAAAACAAAAACAAAAAAAAAATATGTAATAGAAATGAAATTGAATGAAAATGCATTTATATTTGTGTATCGAAAAATGCGTGTTAAATAATTTGTATGTTTAACATAAGTGACGATACAAAATAACTGTAATTTATATAACTTTTATACTATTTTTACAGTAACGAAAATATACAATATAATCAATATTACTGTATAAAATACATATCAAAAAATGGAAGATTTATATTATGAATATTAATAAGAATTCAACATACCTGAATTTATTATATTTTGTTTCTAAAATATCTGTAGATTCGGATAGATCGATTGGTTCACTGGTTCTAATTGCAATTTCTATTTTTTCGATCCAAGCGAACAATTCTTCGATGATACGATGAAATTGATGATTTGAGATAAGTGCACGTCGTAATTGTTCTTGCCATTTTTCAGCTGACGCACATACCTTGTCCCATCTTGTATTTGCAATGGTTAATCTATCACGTAATTCAGTTGCACGACTAGTGTCTTCCGTATGTTCAGCCAAATGGGCACCGACAATGTTTAAACTAACAACAATACTTTTGTGACTGTCAAGATGTTGAAGAAATTCTCTGTGTTCTTGTATAACATATTCCAGGTCTTCTATATTACTCGGTGGCGAGTTTTGTTCACTTTGTGTACCTTCAGCAAACTCTAACCATTTTTCTAAGCGCCAGAGATCATTATCTAATTGAGTCCAGTTACGTCGAGAACACAAAGGACACGTCAGCCTACCGCTATCGCTAAAACTATATATATATATATGATAAATAATTTAATGTTTTTTTTTTCTTTATATTTTATAGATTTAATTAATATTTTTATATACATTCATTGTATTAATATATTTTAGTAAGAAACTCACTGATTACATGGAAATGAGTAAGCGTCTGTAATGGGAGACCTATTAATAGCAAAATGTCTTCTTGTTAATTGATTAGAATTTTTAAATTGTGTTATTATCAATGATATATGATGTTAATATAAGCATTTCCCCATTCCCCCCGTGATCATTTAATTAATTAGAAATATACCTGAGTTCCCTAATTTGTTGTTCACGTGTTCTAGCTAATAAAAGAAGAGCTTCGTATCGAGATATCACAGTTTGCACTTCGTCGCTTATTGTTGTTTCTATATTGAATTTAGTGTCTTCCATGAGTAAAGCATGGAGATGACGTACTAGTTCTATAGATGATTGACAACATCCAATCATTTTTGCCTATAAATTTTAAAAATGAAAATATAATATAAGACAACTTTGTATTAATAGAAAATACAAATTAAAAACTTACAATCGTTTTAGCAGTTGTATTCAAACTTGGTCCGGATACAGGTTCTGGGGTAATGGTAGTTTCTAATGTGTCCAATGAATGATGACACTCTGTCAGAGCTGTCTTTAATTCCAACATGTAAGCGTCGCAAGATGTCATTCTAATTAATCTAGGTAATGTATTAACTTGTACAGCCGTATCCTGTTCGAATTTCAAAGTTTCAACCTGAACGGCCTCGTCAACTTCTGACTTTTCCTGAGATTCTAATTCAGTCCTTAAATTAGCAACACGAGTTTTAATTTCTTTCCATAAAGATTGATATTCGTCTACGAGTTCCTGTATACTAGCCACATCATCCTGATGACTTTCCTGCATAATTTCGAGTGCTAATTTGTCAGCTTTTTGCAGTAGAATATTTTGAGCATTTAATTCTTTTTCGATTTCGGATAAACGTTGCAATCTGCTACGGGGTGAGGATCGTTGTTCTGGTGTAAGCAAATGTTGCAGTTGAGTCAATCGAATATCGATTTGCGTTAAGCCAACTAACGCGGCACTGTGAGCTAAACTAAATTCGCGATAATCCATTTGTTCACGTTCTATCGCTGAAATTATGGAATTTGTTCTGATACGAAGTTGGAGCCATCGGTCTATAATTTTTCTACTTTCGCTAGTAAGTGATTTTAAATTTTCAGGTTCCAATCTGGTCTTAGCGAGTCGTCCAAAGTTTTGTTCAAGAATTTTCAAAGCCGGCTCATGAGCTTCGATATCTTTCATTATAGATTTCAATCCTTCCAACATTTCTCCCGTATCCTTTTTAGTAATCTCGTTCATTTCCTTTTCAAAATTGGCAAGTGCAATTTCCGTTTGAGTTATCCAACCCTCGTGTTCCGTTCTAATATTATCCATTTCCCGTAACAATTTCCAGGCCAGTATGATATCTTGTTTACGTTCGGCCGATTTAACACACGTTGTCTTCCAACGACGTTCAAGATTTTCCATACCGTTCTTTATCGTATCAGTGTTCAATGATGCTTTATATACATCGGAATCATACAATAACATTTCACAGAGGTTTAATATTTCACTGATTTTGGCACCTTCCGTTTGAATAGCTTTTTCAATGTATTCATGGTCCTCTAATTTCTTATCGACACAACTTTGACTAATAGTCTCGATGATAAAATTTTCCGAAAGTTGTGTCTCTATACTCGTCATCCAACTTCTTTGTTCTATCAATTTCTTTTCAAGATTGTTTATGGATTGTATTAATTCGAGTAATTTATTAGCACGAACTTTACCACTGTTAAGCAATTTATACCATTTATCGTTAACTTCGTCCAATTCGGCTTGCACTTTAGCTTTTTCACTATTGTCAGTAGCGTCGATTAATTGTTGACCAGTTTTTAACACCCACTCGTATTCACGTTGTTTCAATGCTATTTCTGCTTGCAACTCACACTCGAAACGTTTGATAATTTCTTCGGGTTCACCGATAGGTGACATGTCCCAATTTTTAACTCTGATTTCGGCGTCCTCGATCCAGGTCAACAATCTGCTTTGTCTGTTGATCCAACGTTTATGAAGATCACAACGTTCACCAAGTTTGTATTCGATTAATGCTAATTGATGATCCAGATCACCTTGTTGTTGCCACAAAAGTGCAACGTGTTGGTTCAACGATTTCATATCTGACGGACTAAGACATTCCCGTAATTGTTTGGTAAGTACATTCAAAGATTCCAATTCGTTGCTGTTCTTGGCCAAACGAGTTTTCAATTTTTGTAGGAATAACAAATTATCTTTGGTTTGTGACAATTTGCCTGGAATCGAGTGAAGAACTGAATTAAGTATTTGACCGATATCCTGTAAACTATTCGTAATTTTGTCCGTCTGTGCAACATGTTGTTCATGATGTTTCCTAACCCTTTCAACAAAATCTCTCCAGGTTTCTAAACCCGCACGTAAATTGGCAATACGTTCAACGTTTGCAGCGTGTTCCATACGAACGGAAACAGCCAAAGTCTCATCACAATCAACGAGCAAATGCATTTGTTGTTTTTGTAAGGATTCTATTTGTGCCTCTCCCGATGGAATTTTGTCCAATAACGTTTGAATCCTTTGAAGAATTTTATCCAATCTGTGAAGGTGTATGAAACGTAATTGCAATCTACTGCGTTCTCTTTCTATGTCTTTCAACCATGCGAACAGATCATTTTGATCACGCCTGTAATTGTCCCATGCCAATAATCTGTCATGTACTGCAGTATGCCTTTCGATAATTTTGGCTAATATTTCATTATGAAGATTCGTCAATACGTTGAATTGTTCAGTAACATTTAGATTATCCTTATCCTCTTTTCCATGTATCGTTAACAAATGATTTTGTTGATCGGTAAGTAGATTTCTATAAACCTCACAAAGATTTCTATGTTCCGATAAACCATTGTAATCACCAGGTACACGATTGGATAAGAATTCTTGAACATAAGTCAAATGTTCTTGCCACAATTTGAAAACTGCTAATACGTCCTGTGATTTGAACAAACGTGTTGACAAACGATGATAATGTTGGAAAGTTTCTTTGAATACACGTTGCCATTGTTGAAGTACTTCAACCACTGATGGTTCTTGAGTTGACATTGTTACTGTCCTATCCTTTATAGATTGGAGCTGTGGTTCAGTTCGTGTTAACGCAAGCAAATGATTACGCAGTAGTTTCAAGTGTTCATTGGATTCTTCTTGCCCGACACTCGTCAAACTCTGAAATATAAATTATTTCTCGATAAATAATCATATTATATATATATATATATATGGTGGTACTTTAGTTAACAACTGTATCACGCTAATGATGTACTTGGTAAACATTATAAACGAGTGTCTGTAAAATAAAAGAACAACCGGAATTTTTCGATCGCATTCATTGTAAACCACAAACGGAAATTGCGAACGTGTTACAATGAGGGGATTATTTTTGCTGATAAGACCGAAACTCTGACGCATTTGTGGATCGGAAATTGTGGTAGAATAATTAAATATTTTTACAGTTATTTTTATAAAAAATAATTAGTAAAAATATATGAATATTATTTAAAGTGTAATATATAATTGTTTAAGATTTTTTTAACTCCGCCTAGTTAATATCTAGAGTTAACTAGATATTAATTAGCTGGTCCCAAGCCCAGATAAAGGAGGAGGGTTCGAGGGTGAGGTTAGCAACCTACCCTTGGTAAAAAAAAAATAACCGCTAGCCTCTTTAGGCTGTAAAGTTAGGAATAACATAAAAAAATCCTAATAATAATAAGAATAATAATAACAAGACCTAATTATTTATTAAATTAATTAAACACTTATCCAATATCTTTGTCATAATGTTTTGTTCATCATTTTTACTTGGTTACAAGAAAGTATGTAAAATAGGTTGCTGTATGACCAATAAAAATAAAAAAATAAAATTAGATTCGGCCTTCTGAATGAGTCATACTAAAGGTAAAGAATGTTGCAGACAGTCTTTTAAGAATAAGCTTTAAAAAGCTTTGGTTATTCTATCGAAAACAGACTTTCCATCATCAGCCCCAGGGTCTCCAGTAAAGAAAGTTTTGTTTTAAGTGCACCCCGTTGCGGCCATTCAGCTGTTGCGGATTTCGTGACTGATGTAATTGCAATACCAGGTTAAGCCTTTCGGCCTTGACATAACAAATTGTTTTGAAACTACGACGATTAAAATGTAAACGCTCGTGTGAGGGTATGGATGATCGTGGTTGTACCTAGCACCAATAGTGTTTGCCTTGTAAGCGGAACCAACTAACGCGGTTTACAGGAATAAGTGTTTCTTATTTTGTTTAAATAAAAAAAAAAAAAAAACCAAAACAAAACAAAACAAAATACCAAAACTTGTAGTAGTAGTGAGAATCATAAATTGTAGAATAAATTTTGTTTGTTTTATGTTTAGTCATTTTGTTTATAGGTAATTAAATATTTAAAAAATTTTTATTATGGAATAATGATGCCTTTTTTGTTTTGTTTTATAATAATWATAATATTTCTAATTAATAATATTATTAATAGGATGTGTGTAATTAAGTTGTTTGGTCAAAAACACGCACGTCAGAGTTTGCATATGTACACGTGGGGTCAATCAAATGTCTACTATTTTGATTATAATAATTAAAAATTTAGTTATATATAATTTATACAAATGATAAAATAATATTTTACCTGTTGTACGGTATCAAGGAAATTCTTAGTTTGACAAAGATCAACATGGGTAAGTTCCTGATTGAATACACGAACGTCAGCTGTGTCTGCAAGGGTTGACAAAGTTTCACGAGCATCCTCGAGTCTACGACCAAGTGCTTCAACCTCGCAATGTAATGGACCACCAGCATTCAAACCAACATCTGATGCAATTTGGGCTACCAAATCGCGTAATTCTGCTAACCTTTCCTTATGTTCCGCCAGGGTTTCTTCACAAATCTGTAATCAATTGTAATATACATTTGTTTAATTATAAAAATCATTTATATGACATATATATATATATAAACCGTAATTTATATAAGAAATTTGTTGTATATATTAATATTAGTTGTTTGAAATTTTTCGATTCTTATAATATATAATTAATTATAAAATATTTAAAATTATATTAAAGAATAATTAATTGAATTTTAATTCTATTTATTTAATTTTATTATAATTGGTTTCTTTCATGTAAATGTATATATGTTTATGTATACATTTCATTAATATATAAAATATATATATAATATATAAGAATTTTATTGAATATAATAAAAAATTAAGTAACGATTAAATTGTAATCGTTAAATTAACTGCATAAGAACACACATATGCAGACGGATCTCTTTATGTTTTTAATATTACGTAATTCAAATAAGATAACACCGTATTTTCCTAATAGAGGTATATATATATATTTTAAAAATAGTACTTGCTTCATTTCTTATCGCAATTTGATAAAACGTGTGTTATTTAATTCGAAGTAAGTAAGGTAGTCAAGTAAAACTCTCTTCAAAGCAAAATGTTTTCTCTTTTTCTTTTTAAAATCACGGTTATACTTTTATAAAATTGTATTACGAAAAGATGTGAGATGATTCGATAGAGAGAGAGAGAGAGAGAGGTATATTATAAATCACTGATAAGATATAACGAAATTTCAAAGTCATACGTAAATGAACAGATGTTGGTAGAAAGGTATACGGTGTTTACGATTGACATATGGTAGGCAGGTAACAAAAATATATATTTATATATATATATATTTTCTTGACTGTTTTTCTTTTATCTATAGATTATGTTAATTCATTCAATGAAAAAAAAAAAACAAAAATAATCAAATAATCAAATACATATTACCGGTTTCATTTCTATAACACCGTTAGGATCGGTTTATCATACAATTTGATAGAATGAAACTAAACTTCCTGCATAATTATACAAAATGAATTAATTTTTTATTTAAAAAAATGCATGAACCCTTTGATTTATCCTAATTAAATATTTTCATATGATAAACGATAAATGTGACAATATTATGACGTTATCGGTTAAAGTTCTCTATCGAAAGTTAAACCAAACAAAAATGTTATCTCATCGTAAACTTTGATATCTCAAAATAATTTCTAAATTAAATATAGATAGAAATTGATTTCTAATTTATATTTGTACAATTGTAAAATCAAAGTTTGAAAAAAAAAAAAACAACAAATAGTGTGAGGATTTTGTTCAATCCTCCTACCTTCGCCTCTTCCGGCGTGCACATGTCTCTGAATTTGGATCAACCGAGAGCATAAGTTTAAGTCTTCCCCCACCCTTTGGTATGATGATAGTGATGATGTAGACACTACGGAAATACTCTCACGTTGCCCACGTCAAACTATCTCAAGAGAGGAACGAATTTTTACACACGCGTCACTAAACACATACATACGTACATACACATATACTGTCTTATAGAAAACTAGGAAGGGGAATACACACAAGACACCATAGAACACGCGTACCCATTAAACGTGGGTGAAAGAGAAGTCTAAAAACAAAAAGTCAAAGTCAAAGAATCAAAAGAAGAAACATAGACGCACGTGACAAACCAGTGTGTGTGTGTGTGTGTGTGTGTGTATCGATTTACAATGTTTTTCTATACACGTGGTCACGTCTATGGTTCCTACCGGTTTGAAAACACACGTGATGAACAGTGAATGATAGAAAAGTGACAAAGATAGATAGATAGATAGAGAGATTTATTTATTTATTAATTAATTATTTTTAATAATTTAAAAAAAAATTTTAATTTGCATGTATAATGAAAACTAAATACCGGAACTTTAAGATGAAACCAAAGAAAAAATGTGAGATAAAAAAAACTGTAGCACGATGAGTATGATAAGAAACAGATGTGTGTGTGGTTTAGTTTCTTAGCTAAAAAGAGATAGATTAAAGAGAAGAGATCAGTACGACGTTCTGGTCCAGACTGCCGTTGGCATCGTCGTAATCCTAGTCGTAGTTGTAGTCGTCATTACGTTCAAAGAGGATCGATGAGAAGAACAGTCAGCGGGGGCTCTTTTGGCTCGTGTATTCCCCTATTTCTGTGTTTTTCTCTCTCTAACTACAGGACCACCCCTTATAGCGCTCTTGTGCTCGTGCGTGACTTGCCAGTTTGCGAGGGTGGGGGGTAAGAGTAAGCCAATCATCGTTGGCGCATCCATTCTCAACGATGAGAATGTGTGACAGTAGGGGCGTAAGTATCTCATGCGTTAGTATCTCTAACGCATTCGGTGTATTATGTTGTTATTTGTTTTTAATTTTTGTTGTTTTTTTTTTTTAAATTATGTTTAGTTACAAATTAATCGTTACTAATCGTTACTTTGTTGTATTCATTTTTATCTTTTATAGATTTATTATTTAAATTTTTTTTTGTGTAAAGTTGTTTACTATATATATATAATTATATATTTTATAATTATGATTTTTATTATAATTATTTTTTGTAAGTTTATGTTTTCTAATATATCAATTTTTGTTCATTAACCGTTAGAGATATATGAAAAAAAAAAACCCTATTAAAATTGATGCTATATTGTTTACCCTATATTATCTCGAAAAATTTCAATTAGCGTTACACCGTAATACAATTTACATAGGTTAGTATAGTTAAACAAATTATTTCGAAAGATTTTAAAAATACATCGTCAGTTATATCGTATTATCGAATTTTCAAATGTACCGAGCGTGATACTTTTTTATACAATCAAAACAAAGTCTATATTAAAATATATTCTATTGTTTTCATTAAATTTTAATTAAAATACGAGTATATTATTTATATCATATTGAAATAATACAAACACACATATACAGACACTTACCTTAACTTGTTTGATAGCTTCCTCAGGAGGTAAATTAGCCACGCTACCCATTTGAGTGTCCACCCAGTTCTTAACAGCTGCACTAGAATCTCTATATTGTTGCCACAGGTTGCAGGCGTGTTGATATTTGGTACAAAGTGCATCCAATTCAGCTTTGGTGTCTTCCCAAGCTCTTACAGCTTCATTTACCGCAGCTTCGACCCTTTCACGGACCTCTGCAGCGCAACTCTCCCGCAAAGGTTCAGCAGAGGCATGAAGTTCGCTAATAAGCACCTCGCGTGCACCGAAATCACCATTTAATCCCTGAAATCAATCCCCCCACATTTTTCCTTGTTATCCTTGTCTTGATCAAACACTTGTCATGACACTAATATCATTTAACTCTAAAACACTTTAGTTTAATTCATTGTTTTCACATATGATTAAGTCGAATCGTTTATACGTTAATTATATGAGGGGAGGGTTGTTTTTGTTTTTTGTTTTGATTTTATTAGCCGAGAAAATAATAGACGTAAGTGTCAATTTATTTTTTGGTCGTTACACACCAGACTGCTAGAAATAAAAAAAGCTTTTTCCACAAACTTAGAGTATAGCTAAAAATAATTTTCCCTTGTACGAGAGACCGTGGGGTCAACACACAACGTTTACGAAGGCTCGCGAATTGAATTTGGTCAGGGCATGAGCTTGAACAACTAATTTTGTGATTGTACACATGTGATGGAGTTCGTTAACCTGAGATTCAGAATTTTCCGAAGTATCCGTGCGGAAGTAGCGAAGTATCTTCTACACCCATTTAAGTTTTGTCCGATATTTGAAACGGCACACGGTTATAATATTCTGTACATTGAAATTGTAACGAGTGCAAGGTAAAACTAAGTATATGTTCAGTGGTATCTGTGGAATCGTTCAAATAATTCACATACGCGCGTTTACTATGCAACTTTCGATCGATATACTTGTATGTACTTTGTTGTTTAGAGTCGAACTGTTGGAATACAATTTTACACCGTTGTAAAAGATATTTATCAGCATCCGTTTACGATTACTATATTTTAAATGGTACGACCTATAAGAAAGAGATATACTAATCTGACCTCGATATACTATCGAGTTTTTTATAAATATGTATTTCATATGTATATATATATATATATATATATATATATAGATATGTATGCACGTCGGTCAAAGTCAAAACTTGATGTCATCGTTATCTCATAGTTATTTTTAATTTAAAAAAAACATATATGGAAAAATTATAAATAATTACATTTATAAAATATATATATATTAATTTTTAATTTTAATAATTTTTAATAATTTTAATAAATTAATATTTTTATTTAATTTATTAATATATTTAATATTTTAATGTCACGTTAGTCATGAGTGGCCTGACGATGATTTCAGTAAGAATTCGCGTGGCACTCAACGTGTTGAAACATTAATTATATTAATTTTTTGTTATATTAACTCTTTGCGGGACACAGAATTTCAGATAACAAAAATAGCCCTATGTTGCACACAAAATTTAATAATTAATTAATAACCAATTACTTATGCATAAATAAGATGAAATAGAAACTTATGAGCACGTGTAGAAATTGCAATAATATTTCGAGATGGGACTAAAAATGTCCAACTGTGCATTACGATGTATCAAAAAGATGGGACACTTTTAATCCCACCGTTCCTCAAAGAGTTAATTAATTAAAGTAAAATTAATAAATTAAATATTAAAATTAAATTATATATATACATATATAATGAAATGAAAAAGGTTGTTTTGCAATTGTTTGTATTGACGAAAGAAATTAACACAATGGCGTAATTATTCTAAACACTTATAGTTTAATTAAACGCAAATATGTTTGAAGTCATTCCGGTAATGAGTCGTTGCGAAATTCTTTAGGCTAACGTATATGCGTGCATTCATTGAAATAAAACTCGACGCCCTCGGACAGCGGATATTAATGAGATTCTTTAACACGGACGTAGAAACTACGATAAGAAAATTCAAACGTTTTAAAAAGGGCATCTCTGTGTGTTTCTTTCTCTTTCTCTTTCTTCTTCTTCTTCTTCTTCTTCCGGTAATATAATGGTTAAAATGTTTTTAAGGAAAAAAAAAAAAAAAAGTAAAAACAAAAAGAAAAGTAAATAAATTAAAAGAAAACTTTCATTTATACAAAGAGATCGTTTGTAAACTTAGTCTAATATTAGATGATATATATGTATATGTATGTTTATTTATTTTTTTTTTCTAATCCAAACTACACGTTCTTGAATTATTTCGTCAGTGATACAACGGGAACAGAAAAGAAGACGACATTTATTCTGAACGAGTGCTAAAGCATATCCGGTTTGTATCGACTTATAAATATTGTTTTGACCTCCCCCGCCCCCTCAGTGTGTCGGGGTTATCGTTTCGTAAATGCGGTAGTTACGAATTGTTCTTTCTTTTATTTTTTTATTTTTTTTTTTTAACAGTTCTAAGAATATATAAATAATATATAAGAATAATAATACTTTTAGTCGTATGGTATCTTAGTACTGTATATGCATATCACGTGTTGTTCTTTGGTCATAACTCGAAATATTTGTTGCATGGAAAGATCCGGACAGTAATGACGAATCGCGTATAAGATAACAAGACGTTCATCTCTGTGTCGTTTGAAAGGCACACTTGCTTGTTCTTATCAATATGACAGGAAAACATATATGCAAAATACACATATGTATATATATCTATAGATTGTTGCTTTCTCTATGTTTCTATATATATTCAACTTTATATATGAATATTAATAAGTTAAATTATTAAAAAAATAAATAATTAAATAATTAATAAATTCATTCAATATATTAATATAATATATTATAATATAATTATAATAATAATAATAAGTAAAATATATTATAATAATATAATAAATTATTATATATTATTATTATTATATTATATTATATTATATTATATTATATTATATTATATTATATTAATAT